TTGTTGTTTGACGGGCCCGGGCTGGATTCGAACCCGCCACCTTAGGTATATGTGGCTGGCACCTTAGCCACTTGAGCCACAGGCACCGAGCCCCCCCATTCTTTTAATGATGGTCTTCATCTGCTGGCTGCACAGTGAAATCACCTAGCGTAATTTTTTAAAAAATAAAACTCACATTTAGGCCTATTTCAGACCAACTAAATCAAAAACTCTTTGAGTGGGTCCTAAGCATCAGAATTTTAAAAATGAATTGCCACCAGGGCTGCAAATCGTCAATTTTTTTTTATCCTTTTTTTGGGACGAAGTCTCACTTTGTCACCCTTGGTAGAGTGCTATTGCGACACTGCTCACAACAACCTCAAACTCTTGGGCTTAAACAATTCTCTTGCCTCAGCCTCCCAAGTAGCTGTGACTACAGGTGCCCGCCACAACACCTGGCTATTTTTAGAGACCATGTCTTATTCTTGCTCAGCCTGGTTTGGAACCTGTGAGCTCAGTGAATCCACCCACCTTGGCCTCCCAGAGTGCTAGGATTTCAGGAGTGAGCCACCTCGCCTAGCCCCAAATCATCAATTTAAATTTAAGCCTGGACTGCAGCTGGTGTGAGCCAGTCATCATTAGGGACCACAATGGGCAGAGATAGGGATTGTCTAGCAATGCTAGACTAGGAACACCAGGGACTTTTATGTTCTGCTTAAAATAATAGGGACAATAAGTTAGTAATACTAATAATTAAGTGCCAAGGACTCAACATACATGAATTTTTTCATTTGTACCTCATTATTTAGCAGGTGAGGAAACAAGTTCAGAGGTGACGTGACTTACCCAGGACCACAAAGCCTAGAAGTAGAGAAAACAAGAGAGCTGGGATCCAATTCATGTCAGTCCAGGACCAGAACCCAGGCTCCATACACTGCAAAAGGCTGCCTGCTGGGAGGAACAGGCTCTGACAGCCCGCAGGGAGGGGCTTAGCAGAAGTGTTACACTTGCAAGTATTTGGGGCTACCAAAAAGGGCAGACCCATCATCTTACTGAGGAAGAAAATGAGACACAGAGAGAAAAATCAGTTTGTCCAGAGTCACAGGGCAATATTGGGACACAGTTGAAGCCTGCAAAGCAGAAAGCAGTCTCACTCCCAATGCCATTCCCGACCCAAAAGCTGCCCTCTTGTGCAGGGCTGCACTCTGCCCAGCTAGGAACGTCTGTTGAATGAGCGAATAGGCCTGGGTCCACGCCAAAAATTCCCGCGTTCTCCAGGTCCTAGAGGCATAGTCCGCATCTGTGGGCCAAACACCGGCGGGTTGCCAGTTTGTGACCTCTGTCGTAAGGTTGTGGCAGCTTACTCTTTTCCTCGTCCTGTAAACCCGCCAGTGGATAAATCTTTACACTAGGAATCAGACGCTTAAGATCCCGGTCCCGACTTGGACACCAAAGAGCTGGGTTGCTCCCTGAACAAGTCGCATACCTCTCAGCCCGGACAGGAGAAAAGTGTGGGCTGCAAGGGGCATCGGGAGCAGAGTGAGGACCGGCTCCCGCGACCGTAGGAGCCTGAGCTCGAGTCTCAGACTCCGCCCGTGTTCCAGCCAGCGCGGGCCGCGCGTGGCGGGGCCCTGAGAGTCCCCGCCCCAAAGCCAGCTTCCCGCCGAGACCAACCTCCCGACTCACGTTTCCCGGTGTCCTGGACTTTCCGGAAAGGCCCCTGTCCTGAGCTCCCGCACGCCCGGACTCTGCCGGCCAGTTCCCCGGCGTTCCACTCAAACCGCGCGACAGCAACGCCAGCCGTTCCCCCCGCTCGTTGCCTCGACAACGGGCCCGAAGACGAAGCGTCGCGAGGGTCAAACCGCCCCCAGCGCAATACTGAACGCACAGAGAAGGGAAAGAAGACTGTGTTTTTTCTCTGGCGCCCCCTGGTGATAGGAGGGAGACCAATAGCAAACGTCGCTGGTCTTTGAAACCCGCAAGGAGGGAAAAAAAGCGTCCGTTGAAATAGGCAAAGAGGGAAGAAAAGCGTCCATTCACTGCACAAAATTCAGCATGGTGGTTACCTGGGCAGGGGAATAAAGGTAAAGGGGAGAACAGAACTCATAGGGAAGGAGAATATAAGGCAGTGGTTCTCAAACCTGTCTGTACATGAAAACCACCTGGGGAGCTCTTAAAATCCAGGTGCCCAGCCTAAATTCCAGACAATTGTCCTCAGACTGAGGGTATCGGTGTTTTTCAAAATTCCCCACTAAGGGCTCGACACCTGTGGCTCAAGTGGCTAAGGCGCCAGCCACATACACTAAGGTAGTGGGTTCGAATCCCCAGCCTGGGCCCGCCAAACAACAATAATGGCTGCAACCAAAAAATGGCCAGGCATTGTGGCGGGCGCC